GCTCATGTAAGCAACTTTCAAAAATTTCGCGACCCCTTCTGGGCCCCCCCCGCCCCTCCCCCTCGGTACGCCACTGACTCTGTGGTATAAAAGCTTAAAAATCTCTCAAAACAATAGCGAAAAGAAGTTCAGAAAAACACTAATATGCTGCTGGTTTTTTCTTACCTGCAGAACTAAACTGGATCGGAAGTTCTTGATTTTAATTTGTGGGTAATATACAACGGTGAGAATAGTCAAAACCAGGGCTCGGCACAGGTGGCTTGTAAGCAAGTTGGATATGTTGGAACAGAAAGCAACGGGTGTATCGCTTTTAAGTCCGAGAGACACAAAAACTGTGAAGTTTTTTTAGTCGACGTTTCGATAAAGGAGGGTTTTTACGTTCAGGGTTTAGGGTCAAAGGGACGTTGTAAAAATTCGGGAAAGTCAGAAGTACTTCGTTTTTGCATTCTCCAAAAGCCGCCTCGTGCCAAGGCCTGGTCAAAACTGTCAAAGCCCATGTATTTTGAGTTTTAACATAGATGAAACAGCTCATCTATGCCCAATGTGATTCTACTCTTTCCTCACTTTTATACTGTTATACGCATGCAAGCACTTGAACGATCTCCGTAATCATAGGGTACTCTAAACCATGTAAATTTTGGTGATTTACGTAACTATCGTAACTATGGTTCTGCAGCTAAAGAGGGCTGTTTTGGAATCGTACGGATGGATGGATGATACCTATCTCGTGTCAAAACGCCATGCGATTTTTAACAATTCCCTTGTCAGATCAGGAGGTAAACTGATTTTATAGAATATCTGAAGCATGGATAACGAAAAGTGACTCATAACTGTAGAAAGAATGCTCATCGACTTAGACGGTGACAGAAATCAAGCTTCGTGGAAAAGTATTGAATTAATTCGATTTTTGGTGGTACACATATGTGTAAAGTTCTCAAAGTATTTTAAGAATCAGAAGATATCATTACCAGGTTATTCCAATGCTAGTTTCTCTGGCATAATGTCCGGATATTTCAGAAATGCTAATCACAGCAAAAAGACAGGAAAGATAACGCCTGTTCTTAAGGTCCCACTCGTTTTTTTTTTGCATTCTCTTTGACGTGGCTGTTTTGGAAAGTTTACCACTACGATGATACTAAATCTTCTAAGGAACACTTTTCTTGCTCTTTCTAATGCTTTTGAATTTGTACCACTACGAAATTTCAAGGCCGAAAACACAGGCTGTCAGAAGAAAAACAGGCGGCCTCCTGAGATCTTCCCCTATTTTGATAGTTTGTAAATGATGAAACAAAAACTGCATTTACTCGCTTTCATTATAAAATATTTTTTACAGAATCACTGAAACTGTTCAACATCTGTCGTAGAGGAAGTTGTGAAAGTACGAATTCTTGCTTCTCCCTTTTCTTTGTCACCTGAATGGCTAAGCGCTTCGATAGAAAAATTTGCTTGAGTCTAGAGAATCGAGATCGTCGAAAAAGGTTTTTTTTTGAAAATGGGTGCAACATTCTAATCGAGTAACAAACAAAGAAAACTTTGAGAAACAGGCCAGAGAGGTCTCGGAAGAAGTGTTTGTTTATGAGAGATTTTGACTGCGCTCCCGAAAGGAAACTACAGTACATTCGAGAGGATCTGTTTAAAATTGGGTTCCAAATAATTTTGGCACAGCATCTCAAAAATTCTGAGTGAAAGGGCATATTCTGGATGAAGTACTGGATTCCACTGGATCCTGAATTTTCGATCTCACTCCACTACGTAACAGTGGCCAATTTTTTGAAATAACAAAAACAAAATTCTGCAAAAAAGTCTTAAAAAACAGAAAACTCGATGTAAAGGTCGAAAAAAATTATTCGATTCGTGCAAAATTAAATCCGCTATCCGGCTCATAACGCCAAAATTTATTTTTCTCGACAATCAAAGCACATATTAAGCATTTTATCGTCATGATTCCGAATGCTTGTAGTATACGATATTTGAGTTGGACTAAATTTGCATTGCTATCGGCACGGTCTGTTTCTCGTTTATCGTTTTTTGTGGGATTTTAAGAGAAAATTAGAGCAAATGGATATATGAATGTTATAATATCTACTATGTGATGATCAGCTGGGAAGCTCGTAGGAGTTCTCTATATAAAAAAATGATTTTTTCGGATGCCCACAGATTTTGGCTTCAAATTCTATGTAAATCAAAGATAAGTAAAACTTTGGCAGTTATTTTGTAGACTTGCTTCATTCTATCGGATAGCTACGCAAACAATCCTTCCCAGGGATCGGCAAAGGTGGCTGGAAAACGCAAAAAACGAAGTCCCCCTTGACTTTCGCGAATTTTTACGAAGTCCCCTTTGATAAACCGAAAAAGTAAAAAACCCTCAAAAAACGAAACGTCCACTCTTTTCGGGCTCAAAAACCATATCCCCTATGCTCTTTGTTCCAAAACGATATCCAGCTTTTACAAGCTACTTGTGCCAAGCCCTGATTCTTCCATATTCAAATGCGTTGGCCTAAGCTACGGACATTATTTTTGCACCAATTTAATAACAATCGTAAAAATGATCCACTAATAAGTGACAGTATTCTCATTAGTTGAAGTTGTTCAACGAAAGGGCTCAAGAATCTGTAGAACACTGAGCCAGAATACTTTTGAAAATTTTCTACAAATTCTCACTCCATGCAAATTTCACCACGGTTCAGTTACGTAACATATACGTCGCGTTTTTACGTATCGAATTCTATCGGTGGTGCGCAACGTAACGCCAGCCGCCGACGTACGCGCAGGTACGGTGCCAAGCCGTACGGGGCCATCCATTTATTCGCCCGTAGGTACTACGTATTACGCTAAGTAAGATCCGAAGACGTATATGTGAGTGGCGTATGGGAAATGAGGTCACACGCATCGCTAAAATTGGTGGCCGCTCGGAATCAGCGATGGGGAAGAGCTGTGGGAATGAATGAGGCAGCATTCTAGGATTCCCAGGAAGAATTTTTTATTGGATCATCAAGTGAAGTTTTATAGGCTTGATCAACATGTCTACTGCTTCACAACAATGGTTCATTCATTCCCTGAGAACATTTGTATCCTTCCCCCTCCCCCTTCCCGCCTCCCTCTCCACTCCATTCCCAAATTTCCGAAGAGTGGACCCTCTTTAAGAGGTTGTTGTGTATGTGTGTTCGCTGTGACCCCGGCCGCGATTATGCAATCGGGGGTGAATTTTCGGGAAAGCGAAAGCCTTGCGCTACTACCTGCCCCTGTTTGGGTGGCTGCATTGGCTGCGATGTCCTCGTTTGACACTCACAAGGAAACATTACGCATTTGCGTCAAGGCTACCGGCCGGATCATGCAAATGGATTCATATGTTTGAGTGGTCTGCATGACCTGGAAAGGAAATTTGTATAGGAAACTTCGATTACAGTAAAATTACGGTAGACCTATTACAGTACCTGCTATCACTATTAGACTGGCTATTTACTAGATTAAAAGAACCGACTTCACCCAACTACCGGTAGTGGTAACCTGGATCTCAACTAACTTCAACGGTGATGGTAACCTGGACAGTGATCAAGTCACTCAACTACCGGTGATGGTAAGATCAAACCCAAAACTACTCCCAACTACTGGGGATGATAATCTTAATCTCAACTTTCTTACCCGCTTGGTATTGGTAAACGATATTCCTAAACCTCCATTAGTAATATTACAGCTTAAAAGAAAGGACTGCAACTCTTTCCACTTGTATCAAAAGTTCCCCTTCCCCTATTTCCCTTTCCCCCACTGTTCTAAAAATAGCTCACGGGCTCTAGAAACTTTCTTTTACCCTCGGTTCTTCTTTTCCTGCGCTACCATTTCTTGACCCGAAAATCACAGCGACCGTTGCGCCCGTGGGCCGATCCAGGTCAGACAGTAAATAGCGCGCATTTCCTCTTTTCCTCTCGTTTCACGAAGCGAAATGAGGCAATTTTAGCGTCGTTCCTCATTCACTAACTGACACTCACGCGCAAGATGCGAGCGGGCGCCCGGACAGTGCATTGCGTACGGTGATTGCCGCGCGCGGGCGCTCGCGCTCCGCTGCAGCCAAACTTTCGCTCCAATTGAGGCGCGACTGTAAGGCGCGCGCGTCGCATTTGCAGAAAAAAAGGATGCCGTAGAAATTATGGAACCATTCATTCATTGTGGGCTAAGTCAAAATCATCATATGGATTGCCTGGTTCGCCTTCTAGAACTTGAAATTGTTTAGAAAATCCTAGGAAGACAATAAGGATCTCCTAGAGCAGTTTAGTGAGAATATGAACTTCAACCATAAAACTTTAGAAGAATTTGATATTTATTTTGTATCTATGCAGCGGTGAATCGTTGTGGTAAGTCACCTTTACACGTCTCTCTGCAAAATGTTCCAAATCTCTAGCCTGCACAATGAAAGAGGGCTACCGTAACACTACCGTAGGTCTATAATCGCATGATGTGCTGATAAAGCTCTCGTCAAGGCTCAGCGCTCGTGGTCGAGGCGTGGCCCAAGAGACTGAGACTCTATAGAACCCCGTCCGCGCCCCTTGCCCCCGTTGCTGACGAATCGTCTCGAGCCGGTTAACGGTCGGGGCTATTTAGGTCAAGCGAGATGCAGAGACGATTAGTAGCCGACGCGCAAATACACAACAAGCATTCGTGTGATAAAACATGCTACGCGAGAGGTTCGAGAGTGCGTGTCAGACGCAACGAGTATGAATGGAATAGTGAGTGATTTTGAGAGAGAGCAAGGGGCAGAGAATGCAGCGTTTTGGGTTAACCGGTAGCTGGGAGCGATAGTAGTATAGCTAGTGATTATAACTTGATCGCTATGTTCCAAACTGGTATCACCGTCAAGTAACGACCATAAGCAAAGTAAAAAATAGCAAAATTATCAAACATTGGATCTGCCAAAATCCCTTTGCCCCCCCCCCCCCCCCCTTTATAAAAAGAGATGCACACAGTCATGTCTACAGTACTCCCACAGTAACTCGACAGAAACGTACTTGTAATGTCTTTCCGGCACAACGTACATTTATAGCTCTTGAAATGCGCTTGCATTCGATGTCGTGACAGTGATGACGAATGACAGAACACTTTCGCACAGATTGAACATCGAAAACTTCCTGAAATTCAAACTTAGATAAATTTGGGATTAGAAAGAGCGCTTATTCCAAACTAAAGAAGATCGCTAAGTCTGGAAAAAGTGGAAAATGTCTTTTACGGCTCTGGAAAGACGGAGTATTTTTCTAAAAAATCGACATATTGATTACTCGAAAAATTTTCTTTAGCTTCTTTGGATGACAGCCTTTAATGATAGAAGGGAAAGAGGTTTGAACACTTTTGATTTCACTCGTATGGAACATAATGATCAACATAGTTATTAGTCACAGGACTGTGATTACAAATCACCAAAAATCAATATATCGATTCGTTTACTACGAAATAGAAGTAAATGCGGGAGTCAAACAGACTCCAGAAGATTTGTCAGCAGAAATCGTTCAAAATTCTTCTCCCTTCTTTTTTCGTCAAGTAATTTCTTGAAAAAAAAAACTTTCAGCTTTATCCCACCTTTTAAGTCGGGCCGCTTCAGTTCAGCCCTGTAATTCCCGCCTGGTATCCGAGATTCATCGCCAGACGCAGGACTTTTCGATGAATCCAGTGGTCTCGAGTATTTGATCTCCACATAGTCCTTCCTCTCATATTCGGTGGCTTCAGCGCTTTCCACACTTTGTGTTCGTTCCCTGGCGTCAGTACACTCTTCAATCTCCATGTTTTCTGTGGAGTTCGTGGTAGGAGTGGTATGAGCGGTGAACACTGGTCGGACCAACGGTTGTGGGCCGAGCAGTAGCTCCATCGCTACCATACACTGCAAAATAAAAGAAGTAAAGGCAAAGAAGATACCCAGCAACGACAATGTCCAGGCAAATCTGAGCTGAGATTACTGAGGTGAGATTGTGAGGCCTTAACTAAGTTATCAGCCAAGCGGAAGCTCATATGCATCATTGGTGATTGAGGAAGTCAACTCCAAATCCCCCTCCCGCAGACCGTACTCTCTGCCGTATCGATGTCAAAGGAATACGGTAATGGCCGAGAATTTACAGCTCAATCACGAGTGAATTATAGAACAGCTACTGGGCAATGGTTCAGTTAAGAGCCTTCCAATCACTAACCATATAGAAAGTTTCAGATATCGAGCTAAGTCTGGACATCGTGTTTGAGATAGCGAAACGAACAACCAATAGTAAACACAGATTTGGAAATAAAGACTCGAAGAAACTGTGGGAACAGTGGAATTTCGGAAAGTTTTGGAGGATTGCCACGCTATTCGGATATTATAACTAGGTTTATGATTGCCTTTAGAAATTTTTCAGATTCATGGCGATGTAAGTTTGAATTTTTCTGGACCTTAGCATATGACCGAAGGTTTCCAGACTTAAAGAAGGAGATTTTTGTGCTCGAAAGGCCAGCAGCGATTGCAACTCATGCTGACGAAAGCTCCTGAATGGGGAACGTTCTATATTTCTCGAACAAAGGAAGACCACCCATGAAAGTTGCAAGGGTGGCTCTGAAGTAGGCTACCAGCTATTCGACTACCGAATAAGAAGGTGTAAATCGTTTGCTTAATGCAAACGACACTAATCTACAGCGCGGGTAGTTTTGCGCCGGTGGTGTCTCTTCGACGGCGGTGGCGGCGGCGCTTTCTGGGATAGCGGTGGATATCCCGAAAACTGTGCCAGAGAGCGGCTTGAGTTCAACGCCAGATAGCACGAGATGGCGCGATGATGTAACGACGACGGTATCGCCGTGCTTCGCGACACTGCTAGAGAGCGATCATAAATTCGCCAGAGAACGCACTGATCCCGCACATTCCACTGGGCAGGCAAAAGTGCCAGAAGGGGCGCAAGCAACCAGGGCAAAAACATGGGCACATCTTCCCAAAAAAGCCTCTGAAGTCACAATGTCACATCTAGGCCAATCCAGGCAGAACTAGGACAATCTCGTAAGCGCTTGCCCCGCTACGTACTCGAATGGATTTAAATATCAGTTCGCAAACGTACGCTAATGGTAGCCCTAGTTTCTCGCAAGGGGTTACGCGCCCTCCTCTATGGGAAGATTTGTGTTTTCAAGGTTAGGAAGAGTGCAAACGAATTTCGAGTCAAAATTGCTAATTTACATTTTTGGTTTTTAAGGCCAAGCAGTGAGGGAACGAGGTGGAGGGAGAAGAATGCTACCACACATTCAACCCTGTTTTGACATACTCGGTATGATGAAACTTAGAATGAAAGTGAGTAAGATAAAGAAAGAACAGATGTATCATTCGTATGCTCACATAATTAGATAAGTTTCAAAAATACAGAACAAGTTCTGAACTTTGCGAATATAAGCATCGAAAAGTGATGGGAGAGCGGGGAGGGAAGGAGAAGGAAGGTATTTTCAGTCATTTTCAGTCTAAGCTCATATGAAAATGACGCAAATAAACCTACATATACTAAAAGTTTAGCCATACGTTCTAGTCTAAGCTTGACCGTCCCCATAAATTTTGAAACGAATGGATTACGAACTTTTTATAGTCGACCGACTTCGACCCTCATTTGGTTACTGTCAAAATCTCAAAAATCAACTTAGGAGTAATTCCTACGGATTATAAATTGGAATAAGATGTAATCAAGCATAGAGATGTGTTCAATTAAAGCATATAGAATTCCATTTAGAATTTGAACCAAGATCTTGGACCGTTTGGATAGGTGGAATGTTTGATAGTATTGAGTCTAACGTTTTTTTTTGGCTGAAGAAGTGGTACCTTTCAATTATAGGCACTTGAAAATTTTATCTTCGGATTCTGATCTCTTTGCGAAGCAAAATATGGTACTGGCAATCAAATTCCAGCACTTTTATATTTAGGTCAAGTTTTGCGAAAGCATATTCGAAACATGCAGGGTTTTACCAGACAGAAGATTACAAAGTTTTTAAATATGTTACATATGTTGTAGAACGTATGCTCCCGAAAGAGTGAGTGTGCAGGTCCTGAGGCATGAAACCGAGATTTATCCCCGTGGGGATTCTGAACACGGTTTACGCCTGTATCAGGAAATTTTTGCTTAGGGGAGATTTTAAGACGAAATCCTGTGTTCTTTACCCAAAGACTGAGTTTCACGAATTCAAAATATCATTAGTGCTTATAAATTTGTTGCGCACATTGCGGTTCTCAGCACTCTCCCAAATTAATCAGATACGGCCCCATAGCGTACGATGACGACGACTCCTTCGTCGATGTCAGCATCTCATCGAAGTCGGCGACCATGTACGGCCAGTTATGGAACGCGAAAAGATTATGCACAGCTTTGAGGTCAGGCGCTTCAGATTAGCCCAGATCAGAAGATTTTCTTGCAGAAGTATGGTACTTGAATAACCTACATGGATAAAAATTTTCGAGGAATTAGCATTTTTATATCTGAATAGAGAAACAGCTAATAGAAAATGAACGAAGCCATGAAACGACATAAGCTGGATAAATAGAATGAGTTCAATGTTGCAAAAATCACTGACAATGGATCTGACTGAGCGAATGAATGTTTTAATCTATCAAATGAATGAGTAAAGACTGCGGATGAAAGGAATGTGAGAAAAACTTGCTTCTAACCACATGATGCAAGAAATCAACATCATCTCAAACAAAAGTATAGCTAGGTACTGCAGAGTAAGTGAAGAAAACAAGCAATAATATTTGCAGAGTAGAGTGAATGTACTGTAAGAGTTTGTAGTTGAGAACCTATATGGTAAGAACATGATATAATATGTGTTTGCCTGAAACACAGGAACACTAGCCAAAGGGTAGCTGACGTAACCCGTAAGACCATCCGGTCTGATAAATAGAACCTTCCTATTTAGCCCGCGCAGAGTCCCGCTCTCTCTTTGCCCCGTCTCCAGAGCGCTTAATAAGGTCACCCGCCCCGTTGACTGAACCCGACTGCTATTTAGTAGCTGCTGATCTCCAAGTGATTCGAGTTGGTTCCGATGTGTGACCAGCAGCGATTACAACGAAGCGACAGAGCCGGGCTTCGGAAGGCGCTGACGACAGCTGGCGCCGCCGCGGCTGACCCAGAAGGAATATGGCTGCTAGCCCGGTCGAGCTGCACAAATCCAGTAATAACTTTTCGTCGTCGACGACGCGCGGCTACGATTTGGACAACTCTCACTTCGGCTGACCTCGTCGGCCTCGTCGATCGTCGCAACTCCGACAAAATGTCGCAAAAGGACACAGTGACCTATTCGGCTAGTGGTGACGATGGTGGGGTGGTTTTGAAAGAAGGTGAACAGGCAGACCTTTATTTCAAGTACTTTTCCTCCACTGGCGGTACAAACGTAGTCGATAAAATAAGATTATAGCTGCAACAGTAGAAAATGTTCCATCTTTACGTATCAGGGTAAAAACTGAGCCGAGCCCCACTGGAGGTGATCGCAATCCAAGTGGGTTGTCCTTTGTCCTACACTGCCTAATAGCGTTATCAAGATTTTGAAATTATTCTCAGTTAGTGGCAGCTCCAGATGAGAAACCAGACGCTAAATAAAGGAAACATGGGAAATGTGAATATGGGGGAAACCGTTGTGAAAAAGGACGATGGCGTGGATAATTGAGAAAAGTAGTGTGAGTCAGTTGAATGCGTCAGCTGACCGCTGGGTCAGGTGAAAGCAAGTTTTTTCTTTTTTAACCTGCTTAGAGGAAGTGACGTATTCATACCTTTATCTGCTTGTTTACGCGACTGTTGAAGATAGAACTGAGAGAGATGAGCACAGCAGTGGCGGTTAAGGAGATTTTGTTCCAATGGGGAGAGGGGAGAGACAAAAAAATGTGTTTGAGTGACCACACATCATTAAAAAAATTTGGGATGCTCTTCAACTGTAATCGGGTTAACCCTGTATTATTGAGAAAAAGAGCGAGAGCTAACTTCAACATTTGAGGATTCTGAAAACCACTTTGAATATTCACTACCGCCCCCCCCCCCCCCTTCCCCATGCCCTCTGTCTGCCACTGGTACGGATAATGTCTTCTAAACATCAAGCCAGAGCATACGTTCATAGAGCATAGTGTCATTTTTGATTTACCATTTTTGCGGAATTAAACAGTCAACTAGCTATGCGCAAAGTCGATTGCAATTTTGCAGTCGAGTTTTGGGAAGAGAATAGATGGACCACACTATTAAAAGAACTGTGCGAACATTGGTGGCGAAATCACGTTTGCAGGCAGAAAACATAAGAATTAAGTTTTATTCATTTTCCTAAAGCGTGACACTTCCGCTGCGAAAATCACCAAGCGCATTACTTAAGCGCTTGATAGAATTTTAGAAGAATTTTCTTTGCTGATTTAGGTGGAGTGGTGGGGTATGGTGGTGAAGGTAGTGGTTGTTGTGGTGGGCAACGGTTATGGTGATGAGGATGTTGTTGTTAGTAATGAGAGTAGTGTTGGTGGTTATAGTGGTGATGATAATTATGGTGGTGTTGGTCTTGGTAGTGACAGTTGTTGGTGATGGTAGGTATGGTGGTGGATGGTGTTGATGGTGATGATGATGGCGATGCTGGCGTTGGTGGTGATGGTGGTGGTGATGGTGATGGTAGTGGTGGCGGTAGTGATGGTGATGATGATGCTGATTGTAAGGGGTGGTAGTGCCCGGCAGCGAACACGAGGTGCGGATATCACAAAGTTCCAACAAAGCTACAAACCAGAAACTTCGTCTCCAGCAGCGGAATTGAGGTCAGAAGCGTTCAGCCATAAGCATACTATATGCGTCTGACAGCCCCCAGCAGCCGCAGTAGCCGTCGACGACGACAGAAACACAGATAGAGATGTCAATCGCGGCGACTGCTGCT